GAAACTGATCAGTTGTCGGGCTACAATTTTCTTCGCGGACATGCTCCCCTTGGGTAGGCTACTCACCCCTTTCGTCTTCTCCAAACTTGAGAAACTCGGGGACGATGATCTTCCCATCAACCATGTTGCAGAGAAACCCAGTCCCGTCCATGCTAAGCTCGACATCAGGGTTAGAAACCTTTAGTTGCTCCACTACATTTTTAAAGCTCTCCTCGTCAGTCGTCATGAGATCCTCATCGGCCACACGGAGGCGGGCAACCAACTCAGCAGGGGTCTTTAATTGCTTCAGCTCCTCGGTTTTATCTTTGGCAGAGGCCGCATCAGCTTCCAAAGCATCGACCTTTTCCTTGAGCTTTTTCTTATCAGAGGTCAGCTGAGCCACCTCTTCATTCCTCTGCTTTTCTAATTGCTCCTTATCTAACTTCAACTTCGTCACCTTTGCCTGAAGATCCACGTTGGCTGCACGAAGGTCCCTCACCTCCTTGATGGTAGGGTCCTTTCCTCAATATGGACCACCGTCAGCTCCAATACCTTCATCATGGCAGCCACATCTTGAGCAAGAGTTTTCCTCTTGCTTGGTTGATCCAAATTCTCCAAGTGCAAAGATTTCGCCCACAGAACCTTCAAAGAGGGACCCCCTCAAAGTAGTTCCTTTGCGGCCAATGAGAAGGAAATTCATACTTATCTGAAGACCTCTCCAAGGTTAAATCCACAGTGTCCTCTCTGACTCGATGACGCTTTCTGGCCGAACTTACTTGCTGAGGAGAATGATGATCCCTGGTAGGAGTAGAAGAAGAGTTCCCCAAACCCGTCGGAGGTGGAACCACGATGCCGCCCAGGCTGGTCTTCGGAAGCTGACTTTTCTTCAATTGCTTCGTCTTTTTGGAAACAACCAGCTTAACCATATGTTCCTGAGTGTTCGGCATTTCATCTGCAACAAGCAACAAAGACAAGTCAGTAAAATAAAGAAAACAAATAAGGACACAACAACGATGCAAAAGCTACCTAAAATTGCAGGGCCTCCTCGTGGATAGCATAATCAAGGAGCCCCTTTGTATTTGTGAGTCGATCCACGAGCATAGGCTCCCCATCCTCTTCAAGAATGATTTTCCCACACTTGGTCACGCACTGGGCAGGGACAAAGTTGTTGACGAAATTCACCAGCATGATATAGCTTGCCTAGTCATCCTCCTCCAAGTTGTCTGGACGAACGATATACTCCTTGGTCTTTCGGTCAACATGATCCCGCTCCATGCAAAGTGGAATCTCTGGACTTGATGTCTGCTCTGCCTACCTTCCTTGCTCAGTAGGGGCTTCCCATCGTCTCCTTTCAAAATCTCCCAACAGAGTAAGAAATTGATGTCCCTCTGAGATACGGGCAAAACCATATAACACATGTTCTTAAATGTTTAGATAGACTTTGAGTATGCCTTGAACAACTTTCTCGACTGCTTCAAGGAAACCCAACCGAATAACCCTCCAAGGTTGTCTACCATTGAAAATGTATGCAGGCAAATAACAGGGGGACATTGATTCCAATCTTAAGGTGATCACAAACAATCTCGAATGCTCGTGTAAAGGACGACGAGTTTGGATTGAGTTGTGAGGGCGCCAAATCTAGATGGGAAAGAACCGCCACCTGAAGATCCAAGAACGGCAAACGAAGCCCCATCTCCCTGAAAACATATTCATACATGGGGAACGGTTGGTCTTTAATGGTGAGCATGTCTGCTCGTTTTCCCCTGGAAAGAAGATCTTCCAATCTTCCTCGGCATTTGACGAACTCGTTTCGCCTCCTACTTCCGTAAAGGCCCCCTCGGGGAAGGAAGAGAAAAACTAAGCTATCCCCCGCAGCTCTGGAGAAATCCATTCATTGGGGTCTCTGGTCGTCCGCACTTCCCCGGAAGTTCCAATCTCATCGACTATAATTTCGTCCTCAGAATCTATTGCCATTTCACCTGAAAAGCAGAGGGCAAAAGTGAATTCGACGATCAAATCAAATCCACTATTCTACCGATAGTCAAGTGAAAAGGAGTACAAAGACATGAGAACGATGTCCTCGGCCAAAGCCCTTACGCAAGCATCAAGCGAGGACACCCCCAAAATCCTGCTCGGACGATCTAAAGCTTCCCCGACAGACAAACCCTATAAATCTTAACAAAGGAATCTCCCATGCATGTTAACCCAGAACTTCGTTTGCAGATTCATCGGAAAACTCATGCGTTCATCGGAAAATTCATGAAAAACCCAAAATACTCATCAGAAAGGTCATGAGTCCACCAGGGAACTCACGACGACAAGCACATCTCTGCTCAAGCCACGGCCCCAAAACGGCTAAAAGCGCACGTGTCTCCACTTAACCTCACCCTCTCACCGGTGACATCATTAGAAAGTGGCATCACCATCGTGAGACACCAACAAGTCACCAAAGCAACACTCATCACAACCTAATTTATCCTATCCACATGCATTTTAATAGAAAAACAAAGCTAAATCCAGCTTGAAATAGAGGAACAGAAGACTTACGTGGTCAGAGAGATTTGAGATGTGCTCGGAAGCTTCTGTTGCAGCATCAAACAACGACAACAATGGCAGAAAAGAAAAGAACAGAAAGATAGAGAGAGAGGGAGAGAGAGAGAGAGAGAGAGAGAGAGAGAGAGAGAAAGAGAGAGAGAGAGAGAGAGAGAGAGAGAGAGAGTGAAGAAGAGAGAGAAGAAAAAGTGCAAATGAACTGTTATCTTTCCTATTTATAGAGCAACCTTAACGCACGCGCATGCGCGTCCTAGGGCAGCGTAGGGGTCATCATTAATCCTATCCTCTAGACTGCCATCATTACGCCTCTGCTACAACGTGTGGTTCGATGCAGACGTAACATGCAACCGTTTGAAACCTAATCAGTTGTTCGGCTCCCCCCTAATCGAACACATGAGGCAATGTCCAGGCTCCTCGTACATCCTTATCCTCGAGTAGATCTAAAACATCCTCATCCTTTACGGCAAGCGCCAACGTCAATATCACGTCCTCGACATCCAGGCTGATTCTAAGTCATCACTCCTTCGCCTAGGAGAAATGACTTGGGGGACTCCTATTCTGGACTGGTCCAAACGACCAAACAGGGCCCAATCTACTTATGTATGTAGGACGACTCAATAACATTGACCCAATAAACCACGACGGACAAGGAACATTTTTCCATTCCGCCTCTCACTCGAGAAGACCTGGTCGACTGACCCCTAGGTCTGCAAGGCCACTTCTTCCCGCCAAACAGACACACGAGGATAGCCACCCAAGAACGACCGAAAATCATGTTTGTCCGTGAAACACTTCTCTTCTCATTGTAACGGCTAGTTCCGAGCATCTATGCTCGTTACAACGACTAATTCCTAGCAGTTACCTATTTTTGAGGAACTTGATATCCAGGCCTAAAAATAGGAACCAATGGCCAAGCGTCAGGGGAACTATATAAACTCTCACATCTATGGGCCAGGTAGCGTATATTCATTCTAAAAAACGCTAATTTCTTTCTTGTATCTCTTTGCACTCTTACTTATTTGAACGTTGGAGTGCCTTGCAAGTACACCCTCTCATCCTCTTTGATTTCAGTCTTGCAGACGTCATCTATCGGTCCACTTCAGGTTCTGATGAACCAGTAAGATCATTACCTTATCGTGTTACCACCATTGAATTCAGTATTTTCATTTTAGATCTAAAATTGTCATTTGATAGTTATATATCTTAGTATATTTCACATTTGGAAAAATCCAAATCCAGAAACTCAAATCTAAAAACATTAAATAATAATTTTGAATTTAAATCTTTCTCAAAAATAAATATTTTTTTTAGAAAAAAGAATTGGTGTTGGTGGATGACGAAGATGGTGATGATTTGGTGTTGTTGAATTTGATAGAGTTATTCTTTAATTTGGCTTCTGATTTAGAAGAAAAAAGTGAAGAAAGTGAATAAATTGAAGAAGAAGAAACAAAAAAAAATCACATTGTTGCAGTATTATTGCAGGTTTCACGTGATGTAATGAGTATTTAGAAAGACAAAATCAATAAAGTTAGATACTATGGAGTAATAAGTCATTCACATTAATTATATTTAATTATAATAATTAAAAAAATAATATATAATTTTATAGTGACCTGATTTACCTGCTATTGCAGGTAAAAATTATAACTTCTATATGGTGGACAAAAAGTCACTTGCTCAATCTAAATATCATCGGATTTTATGTTTAACATATATATTTCACGAAACTAATCTTAGTTAACTAGTAGTTAACTATTATTGTTTTAACTAGTTACTTTCATTTTTATGTTCTTTCTTCTTGTATATATAAGTTTTGCGGTCTTTGTATTTTGGACATACCATGTGCTTCAGTGAAGAAAATATTAGGAGATATAATTCTAGTTCTCTTGAAGAGTATAATAACTAGTGTTGATAGGTTGTCAGATGTATTCGACAACATCGAACACAGCAACTTTATAGTTTTAAGCCAAAACTTGTATATAGTTGAGTTGGACTTGGGCATTTTAGGTTTATATAAAGGACTTGTTAGTTTGTAATTTTACAAATGCAATCACAATTTAATTTTACAATTCAGTTAGAATCAATAGCAAACTTTCAAATCTCTCTCTTTTCTTCTTCTTCGTCTTTAATAAATTATTTTTCTTGAAAACTCTTTGTCCAAAAAATATATGAAAAATTTGGAAAAATACAATTGGAAGAAAAACTAAAAAATACGTAAACCGTAAATCATGTAAAGAAACTGATTGAGTATGATCAATTGATTTACATATATAGGCGATGACACAACAACTCAACCAACTAATAACCGAAATAACAGAAATCTAAAACAGTTATATAACTAACAATTAACTTAACTACTTCAACTCTTACTAATCAGTAATGCAGCAGTTGATGTCTTACTAATTTACCAATATATGCACAATATAGAAATTACTCCCATTACCTTTAAGCATCAGTCATGACTTCTGTTACACATCCATCCTAAGTAGTGCATCATCTAATACTCTCTCCCTTGCCAGTTTTGCCTGCAAAAAAAGCAAACAGTGTACTTTTAACACCTAAACACATTTATTCATTTAGTTGTACCAGAGAAACTTATTTATCGAACACCGGTAGTATCAAGTTTATAAATTGTGGACCTGTTTTTTCCAATCTGTACGAGAAGTAATAATAGAAAGGCAAATTGTTTGCACGATGGAGCCACAGACTATTCCTATCCATAGGCCCTTTGCTTTGAAATGTACAAGGAAGCCTAGTACTGCACCTACAGGAATTCCTACTAAATAAAATGCTCCAAGATTCACATAGGCTCCAACAAGTTGCCACCCACTTCCTTTAGCAGCCCCTGATTATGAAAGAAAACGATTGACATATACAGCAAAATGTATATTACTTTTACAACATTCAAAGGTATAATATATGTATAAATGTATATTACATGTGTTAGGTTAATTAGTCAATGAGAAACTTGTACACATGTTTGGATAATAGTATAGATATAACTCTGCAACGTGTAGCAAAAAGAATGTAAAGAAGAGTTGTTAACCTGAAATAACAGCTTGCAAGCTATCGGTAAATATTGATGCACATAGAAAAGGGGTCATAACAGCCACATAATGAACAACCATACTGTCATGGGTATAGGCATAACCCAAGATATATCTGCAGCCAAACAGGATTATGACGACAACAAGAGCTTCTGTAACTGCAAGGATCGTAGCCGTAGAAACAGAAAAACGAACTGCTTTTGGATTTCCTGCTCCTAATTCATTTGAAACTCGTGTGCTGTCACATAAAACAATCAAGTTACTTTTAATTTTACTATGTGTATGGACAAAATTACCATATAGTTTGGTGAAAAGAGAAACAAACCTAGTAGCAGCCCCAAGTCCATAAGCAATGGTGAAGTGCAGTGTAGAGATCGTCAAACTGATCATACAACCATAAGAAAGCTAGTGATTAATGGTTTTATTTTCTCCTAAAATTTAACATATTGCTTGATGTAACCAATATAGAAAATAAAAACTTGAGTAAGCATATCCTGAAATCAAAATATGTTACCATATAGAGAGAACTGATGTCTCCAACTTGGGATTGGGAAAAAGTCCAGCAAGCAAAACAAACACTTCACATGCCCACCATTTGAGACTGAAAGAAGATGGACAATTGTCGATGACAGATGTATTTATATATGTGGTAAAACAAGTAACCATGTTGGCTAAATCATGAAGGACTGTGCTGAATTTTTTTAAGGAACAGTTACCAAACCATAGCAGCAGAAGGAACAGCAAGGGCAAAGAATTCTCTAAATCCAACGAAAACTTTCTTCGAAAATGGCACACGTGTTCTCTCACAAGCAGAAGAATACTTGACGAAGCACAAAAGTATTACCACATTCAACCAGGTTCCTAAGCTGAAGGCTATTGCCGTGCCAACAGATCCCAATGCCAATTTAAATACCAAGACCCAAGAGGTTACTCCATGGAAGCACAAAACTATTAAGGAGCTTATAATCATAGGAGAAATGATACTTTGTGTCTGGAAAAAACGTGTTAGGGGTTTGAGAATTGCTGAGCCAAATAGTGCTGGTATCAGCCAAAGAGCATATGTACGAGCTTCAATGGAGATTGCGGTGTCTTGGCCTATGAGAATCAAGATTTTATCAAGGAAAATCCATAAAATGGTTATTGGAGCACAAACCATGGCTAGGGATATGACTGCAGTATAGGTATATATTCCCATTTTTTCAAATTGTTCAGCTCCAAAAGCTTGACCACATAAAGTTTCCATTCCACCAGCCATCCCTGACTGCAATAATATTGACATAACTGAATGAGTCTTGCACATTGCAAACAATTTACTCAAAGTCAATAGAAAGAACTTACGAGAATACTAAATCCAGAAACATTAGTGAGGGATGTAGCAATAGCAACACTTGAAAGAGAAAGCTGGCTGAGATGTCCAACCATCATCACTGAAACTACTTGCAGAAGATATTGCAGCACACTTGTCGCCACCATTGGTCCTGCTATACTACTCATCTTCTTCAGTTCCACCATTAATGTTGTTCTCGTTTTCGTCCATTTCCACTTTCTCCTCTCTGATCCTTCTTCTATTTCCATACCTGCTGATGGTGTCCAATTTCTTACAGTATTTTTTGTTTCCCTCCGTGTTTAAAAATGTACTTGACTAATATGAAATCTGATCATGAATCACTCTAAGCATTATTATTCCAACTAAAATGGTATAAGTTTGTTTCTTTCTCTCAATATTCACAATTCTCAACACCATAATTATTTTGAATACTATCCTAAAAGGCTAAAATGGTACTATAATTCAAAAGTTTTTCTTTAAAAAGTTTTTCTATACTTTTCTCATTTTTTGTTTTCTTATTTAATTGAGTTTTTCCTTTTCTTTTTCTCCCCCTTAAATTTCGTTTACTTCGGTAAATGATTAAATGAATTTAATGTTTACTAGATACTATAAATGTTGATTTAATTTGGATTATTTTAATTGGGCTTTGCATTAATGTTGGATTGGATATCTGGATTTCACCCTTATTGAGTTCTTAGTTGACCCGAACAGCTGCAATAAATATTTGTCGGGTGTTTACCAGCCAAAAAGTCTTTCAAAGTTGCAGCAAAAGATCTTGTTATTACATCCGACCATAAAGAAAAGTGGAAGGCCATGGAGCAGTTAGAGATGTAATGAGGGCATTAAATGCTTTTTTTCTATCATTGAGGAGTTTCGCTAGTTCTTTGAGTTTGTGGCTTTAGACTCGCAGGTTATGACATGACGCTCTTCTTTAGAGAGTTCAAGTTCACTTGTATTTCCAAGGAAAATTTTAGTTGTTGATTTGTAACTTTATGTTTTCTTTATGAAAGACCCACTGCTCACTCTCCTCTATATAAAGGTCTCTTGACTTTTTGGGAGAATCTTAGCCATTTATGAGAGACGATTTCCCTTTGTCAGAGCGATTTCCTTCCTTCTTGTGAGAATTTTCTTGACCGTTCATCTTCTGCAGAGTAGAGTTTTCCCATTTTGGAATTTCTACCTCCTTCACTAAATTCTCTTCTCTCCAGGTACCCTTTTAGCTCTGAGATTATTTGTTCCCACACATTTTTTATTTTGTCATGGCTCGTGTAAATGATCACATTGTAAGCTTATCTAGAAAATATGAAAATAGTGATTTTTCCCCTTTAGTTATTAAAACATAAACATCTTCTTGGTCAGATTCCCACCATTTAGTGAGTAGTCATTGCATTTAAGTCATTATAATTGTGTCTGGTAGTTTTGAGTCAGAGAGGTTTTCTAGTGGTTCTCTTGATGGGGAAACTTCCTTTGACGAGTCTTCCTTCGACGCTCTCATTTCTAATGATGATGTTTAGGGTGATCACGCGGCCAATTTTGCGCCCACTCCATTTGTAACTATAGTGGATTTACCCTTTCCTACTCCGAGTACGTCGGAGATAGAAGTTGTTGCCTTGAACGGGGAAGAGGCTTGAAATTTCATCAAGACCTACCATTCTATTTATGGTCAGAATCCAAGTGATGCCAAGGTTAAGGATCATCTGGCACGTGGGACCCAACTTAATGGTTTCGTTTGGCTTAGGTCATTCAATATCTTCAGAGATGGCAAAATACCTCGAAGGAGTATTGAGCTTTTGGAACCGATTGATGTGAGCAAGTACAATTGAGTGAATTCTAAAATATTAGGGACTCCCTCTACTTTAGATGATATTGCAGCCGTGAGGGAGGCTAATATTAAGGTGGCTAGTCCCTCTGATTGGTTGGTTCTCCCCATGGAATCAAGCAAAAGGATATGTAGCAGCTTCAGGTAATGCTCTATTCCTTTCTATGAATGTTTATTTACCCGGGTAAATTTTTGATAGCCGTTGTCCGAGTTTGAAGTAAAGGTGTTGAGGTTTTTGAAGGTTTCTCCCTCACAACTTCATCCTAGCATTTAGGCTTTCATAACGGTGTTCCAATTCTGGGCCAATTACTTGTCTTGGAAACCTTCATGTCATCTGTTTTTCCATATTTTTGTTGTGATACATACTCCTCTGAATAATATCAGAGACCAAGGGCTCATTGTACCGCTCTAGCATGTTCCCTAGTTTAACCCTTGCACCGAGAACTGGGATGATTTTTGGGATCGCTTCATGTTGGTAAAGCCTTGTACTCTAGGCTATGTTTGGATATTTCAAAGCGAACGGAATAAAGCGGAATGGAACAAAGTGGAATAGAGTGGAGTGGAATGGATATCTCATTCCATTGTTTGGATATTTTAGGATAGAATGTAATAAAAATGTTTTTCCGTCCAAATCGAATGGAACTAAAATAAGGATAAGTAATGGAATTGGATGGAATGCATTCCATCATGTTCCGCTCCATTCTATCCTCTCTTTACCAATCCAAATGATGGAACATAATATCATCACATTCCATTCCGCTCCATTCTGCCGCACTTCATCAATCCAAACATAACCCTAGGGGGCCATTCCATATTCTGCCAAGCTCTTATAGATCTTCCTCTATTTTAAAAGTATTGGGCTTGGGTCCATTTCAAACATGAGCCTTGTGAATATGTCATCCATTTGGATTATCTCATTCCTTATGAGATGGAGATGAAGAAAGATCTTAATGTTTTTCATGAGAGTCTTGGTTATAAGGAGAAGTTTGTGCATACTAAGGTAAAGCCTTCTCTACAGAGGAAACAATCCATTGACACTTGCGTTATTATGGGTGCGGCCCTTAGTCTGGAGATGAAGGATATTTTTGGTGAGGATAGAGTCATCCCTTTGTAGCCCTTTTATATGAGAGGTTTTTGGTACTTGTAGATAAAATGAATTCCTTGTAAATGGTCTTTGACTTTGCTATAGAGCATGAAGTTAAAGATTCCACCATCACTTTTCCAGCTTGGGTTCCCACTCATCCTCCAGTTGGTCCTGGCATATCTACTACAATTGAAATTCCCCTAGTCTCCCCTGATTGGGGCCATCTTTCTTCCTACGATGATGCTTCAGTTGTTGAAAATAAAACTCACTTTCCACCCTCTAATAACAAAAGAGACTGAGACTAGGATCACAGTTCTTAGTCGAAAGGAGATTTGGCTAAACGAACCTGGATGTTTGGGGGTGTTTCCTCTAGGTCTTCCACTCCTCTACTCAAGATGCGGACCATTTTTCCATCCTTGATTCCTCGCACTTCTCAGAAAGAAATTGTTTCAATCTTTAAGGATGATCTTGCATATCTTAAGAACTTTCTTGGAGTAAAGAAGATGAAACTCTTCTCAAAGGCCACTTTTTATACTTACCGGACTGTTTCTCTATTTTCCTTAGCTACTATTGAACGGGGTGATGTTTTAGCAATGGATAATTCTTCCAAGAAAAGGGATATCTGCAAAGGGAAATGTGAGAAAGATGAAAATGATAGATCCAAGCTTCAACAGAAAGTGTTGGCTCTTCTGGAGAAGGCAAGCTAAGTAGAGTCTCTTAAAAAGGAGGCGAAAGTTCATGGAACCCCTTATTCTTTTTCCACTAGGATTGATAAGCTTTAATCTTCTCTGAAACAAAGAAAAAGTCTTTAAATAAGGCCATCATTGCTGTTGTGGTATGAAATCCCCTACTGATGAGGCCATGGAGTTTTACTTCTCCTTCTACTCTAGCCTTTGCGGAGGAGTTCTACTTACAAGTTTGTCTCGAACTATGTTTGGAGTGATCATGCTTCCGTTGTGGATTGGGCCTTTTTAAAAACGTTATGGCCTATCGCTATGATAAAGAAGGATCTTGAATTCGCAGCAGAGACTCGTTTCTTCAACTGCGATAGCGTTGATTCATGGATTTTTTTCTTCTGTTTCCCCTCCAGGTAAGGTGAGATCTGGTGATAAGAAGGTATAGCCACTATCATCAGGTTTCCTTCTCGATCCTTTTAATTGTAGTCATCAGAATCGATAGTTGGATCGAGGAGGCCGGAAGAAAGGTACTTTGTAACAAGGTTGAGAACATAATTAATTTCAAATGTGATTTCTTTGCAATTTGACTTTGAATCAATTTGAATTTGTTATGCGTGGAAATCAAAATTGATGCTAATTTGACAAATAATATGAAATCTGATCATAAATTAGTGTAAGAATTGTTATTCTAACTAGAAATCAAATTCAAATACTTCCTAACCATTTTAACCTCTTAAAACACTTAATTAACCAATTATATTTAACCATTTAATTTAACTAAATGGATTTTGTATCGGCATAAAGTTGTTGTGTGTACTTTCGGAATTCATAAGCTAAATGTGAAACAGAAATATTTACAGTAAATTGATTTCTAAGTCTGTTTTGTTTTTTCTCTATTTGCAGTAATTTCAATTCACACACCATAGTTCTTTTCATTTAAATGGTCACAAAAATCACTAGACGACTCATCATAACTATGAAGATTGAATTCATATTTATTTAGTCCAGATTATACGATTTATATTATAAATATTTTAGAGAGAATATTCTATAAAAACAAAACATGACAAATAAATTTTCAGAAAACGCAGACTATAATAAATTGAATACTATCCTAAGCTGGTATAATTTCAAAAAATTGATGTTATGCATATTTTTGTCTGCTCTTAACTTTTTTTTTTTTCATTTGTAGATTTGCTATATCTTTATATAAGAAAGTAAGGCACTGCAACATTTTTGGTAAGAGTATAAATAACACTAGGTCAGGGTATGCAAATGAATCACTAATTTACTTTGTTTTCAGAAACAAGTTGCACTGTTTAAGGACAATATATAATTAGTTATTATCTTAAGTGATTTGATGTATATGAATTCAATAGTAATTATTGTGATATATGTTCGTCAAAAGAGCTCAATAGATATTGGAAAATTCTTACCCCATTCCATATTGAAAAAAATATTCTATACAATTTTGAAATTGTCTTTTAGAAAATCGAAAATATATTTCTAGTTTGCATTACATTTTATATAAAACAGGTCAAATGTGATTTCACTTTTCAAAATGAAAAAGACAGTATAAGAAGTATACTTTCGGTTCTAAACTGAAATTCTGCTTCTGGTTCTATTAACGGGAAGAATGAATTTTGTTGTTACTTTGACATTTCATAT